TCTGGGAATAGAGTTGAGAAACGACCTAACCTGGCCTGGGGAGAGAACAGCAAAGACCTGGTGAAGAGAGCACAGCAGAGGTTATATTTTTTGAGAATTCTCCGGAAAAACAATCTCTCAAAGGACCTGTTGATGGCATTTTACCATTGCACTGTGGAGAGCATACTAACTTATGGTCTGTGTGTATGGTTTGGGAGCTGCACGGCCAGGGAAAAAACAATGCTATCCAGGGTTGCAAAGACTGCAGAGAGAATAATTGGGTGCACTCTTCCCACCTTAGATCAAATCTATGCTGCTAGGTGCCATAAGAAAGCGGCAGAGATAGCACAGGATAGTACGCATCCCGGAAATGATCTCTTTCAGCTTCTGCCTTCTGGAAGAAGGTATAGGGTTATAAAGGCCAGGACTAGCTGCCTGAGAAACAGTTTCTATGCAAATGCAATTCTGGTTCTAAATGCAGCATAAGGGGTTTCTACAGTATAGTGTATTTTAAAATAGGGTTTTAGAGTTTTTAGGGGTTTTTGAATGTTTTATGTAGTTTTTATGTAGTTTTTCAATTTCATTGTCCTGCATGGGACAATGACAATAAAGATATATCTATATCTATCTATATTGATCCCTGTGCCACCATTATATTTCTCGCTGCCACCACCCAGGCCCTACCGGGTAAAATACTGAGTCCAGTTAGGGTTAAATTGGAACATAAACTTCTGTTTATTTATTGCAGTTTAACAAGCGTGTGGTTTCATAAACTGTCTAAGTCAATTACGATCATGGAGTGCCTATCCAGACCTATAACTTCCGCTACCTGCTCTCACTCACTAAACCACCTCTCAGATATTTACTTGTCTTCCTAGCTCCTAACTGTTCCTGACTCAGCTTATTTCGCTACACTAACTCAACCTACCCACAGACTCGATCCCAATTCACTCCCACTCCAACCAACCACCTTGGCCTTCTTGTCATACCAATTTTTTTTGCTTGGTTTGGGCACTTTTTTAACACACACACACACACCCCCCTAACTCTAGGGATCCCTTTAAGGTATTCTACAAATTAAACAAATGCTCCACTACGGACTCTGGATCTTGATCTCGCTGTTCTTCCCAATTCATGCAAAGTAAGTCCAGGGGCCCTTTTACGTCCCAGCAATCATTCAAATGGGCTAAACCCAGTACTTTCTTAGGGTACATCCCTATATGCATACAGTAGTGGTTGCATCTTGTCATCCCAATTACTGGGATTTTCGGCGGTATAGGTTTTAATCATTCTCATTAGGGTTCCATTAAATCTTTCAACTAACCCATTAGTTTCAGGGTGGTAAGGTGTTGATGTTAAATGCTTAATACCACACACTTCCCATAGCCTTTTCATTAGTCTTGATGTGAAAGAAGAAGTCAAGTCAGTGACTATTTCACTGGCAAAGCCCAATCTACCCATATAGTTAATTTAAGCGCTTGCCACCATTTCCGTTTCAATGTTTCACAACAGAATGTCTTCTGGATATTTGGTTGCGTAATCCACTATGGTGAGGATGTATCTGTTTCCCTGCCTGCTGGCTCTAGGCCAGTGTTTCCCAACCTTGTGCCTCCAGCTGTTTTTGAACTACAACTCCCATCATCCCTGACTAGCAAGACCAGTGGCAAGGGATGGTGGGAATTGTAGTCCAAAAACAGCTGGAGGCACAAGGTTGGGAAACACTGCTCTAGGCAATGGCCCTATCAGGTCCAGCCCTAACCGTTGAAAAGGGGTTGATATGATAGGCAAGGGACACAATTTGGCTTTTGTTTTGCCTTGACCGGTGCCACTTCTCCAACATATGTCACAGGCTGGAAGGTATTGTTTTATTTGTTTCCCCATGCCTGGCCAGTAAAAATTTTGAGCAACTCTCCGTTTTGTTTGTGTGATCCCCATACGCGCTCCAAATACACTATTGTGAGCGTGCTGCAGGATTTTGCCCTGGTATTCATGTGGGATTACTAACTGTCTTCTCACTTCTTCACCCCCACCCTACCCAGATGGTGGGGAAGGACTTCTCGATATAAAAGGTCCTTGCTCAAACAAAAATGTTCTGGGCACTCAGGAGTTAACGGCCTCTCCAACTCGGCTGCCTCAGAGTACATTTGTAACTCAGTATCTTCTTTTTGCTTTTTGGCAAACTTGGGGTTTGACTTTTAGTCAAAGGAAACAAAAAGGTGTCTTTTCCTTCCTCGCACAGATTATCCCCTTGCTGTTGTTCAGCATTGTTTGCCTCTGCTACTGTATCCACCCCCTCAGGATTAGGTGACTGTGGGCTCCCTTTTGCTCTGGTAACTATGAAAGAACTCTGCACATGTTCTAAAATGTCCCAACCAATGAGCACAGGGGTGGGAATTTCTTCCGAAAGGGCTACCTGCCACTTCCCTGCCCAGTTTTTGAACCTGACGTCTATTTCCACCACCTTTAGGATCTCTACTTGTTTCAAAATGCCTTCTAATTTTATTAATTTTCCTGGAATTATGGCTTCAGCCCTGATTATCTCCGGGTGGACTATAGTGACTTGTGAACCCATGTCCTTTAACCCAAGATATCTTTTTCTGTCTGTCCAGATATACTCTCCAGCTTTCTTTTACAAGAGATTATCTTGCTGAATCGCATAACAGTGCAGGACTTTGGCATCTACTACCTCAGCAGGCTCAGGCCTAGCTGGCATGTTGGTTCCCTTGACAACCTGTCTAGTCTGGCCCTGCTCCACAGGCTGGATACAATATGTCTGTTTTTGTGTGGTGCTACAAATGGACATTTCTTTTCCTGTTTTACAATCAAAACTTTTATGACCTAATTTTCCACATCTCCATCATGAAATGTCTTTGGGTCCTGCATAACTTGTTTTATTGACTTTTCCCTCAGTCAACTTTATATGGGTGTGTGCCTTCTCATGTTGGCTTTTAGATGAGGGGCTACTTCTCTTATCGGTTTCTGAGGTAATTTTTCCTTTGGTTTGCTGAAATTTATTCTTGTTTGTTTCCCGATATCTCCCACCAAATTCTAGCCCATCAAATCCATGGTCTCTGATTTCATTTATTTTATCGGCTAAAGCAGCTGCTTCCTCTATTGTCTTGGGGTTCCTTTCTTTTATCAAGTATTTATCATTTATTTATAATACTTGATACTTGAAGTATTTGATAAATCCCCGGCTCAGCTGGGGAGGGCGGGATATAAATAAAATTTATTATTATTATTATTATTATTAAGTATTTCAATTGGCCATTTATTGTGTAGTAAAATTGCTCCAATGCTATCACTTCCCTAATTTTAGGTACCATGTCTGCATTCTCTTGCTCTAACCATCTCATGAGGTAAGTTTTTATCTTTGCACCAAGGTTTCCTCCCTCACCTTTGTCACACTTCTAAAAAAAATTCTCAACTGCTCTGAGATAATCCCAAAGCGGGTGTATATTAACTGCTTGTACACCTCAAAATTTCGGGATTGTTCCTCAGTCATTTGTGTGTATATTTCGGCTAGAGGGCCACTTATTCTAGCTCTCAAGATCATCATTTTATCTTCCTCTCTCACTTGAAAATCGTGACATTCTCTCTCGAAGGATACTAAAATGCTTCTGGGCTATCCTTATCTCTAAACTCAGGAAAGCATTTTAAATCTATCTTCATTTGATTCTGCCCATCGGTGTTACTACTATTATTTCAATTTTCCTAAACCATTAATTCCAACTGTCTCATCTCCAGTGGCGTAGCGTGGGTTGTCAGCACCCGGGGCAAGGCAAGTAATTTGCGCCCCCTAACCCGTGGATTTGCGCCCCCTAACCCGTGGATTTGCGCCCCCTAACCTGTGGATTTGCCCTAACCCCAGATGTTGCGCCTGGTGCAGCTGGCCCCCCCTGCACCCCCCACGCTACGCCACTGCTCATCTCTAACTGAAACCGCTGCTGTTCCCGTTCCAGCTCAGCCCTCAATTTTTCTTTTTCCAATTCTTGTTCAGTTCTATTTTTCTCAAGCTCCAATTTCAAGTTATATTCTTGTACTAATTTCCACTTTTCAAAATGCTCTGAGAACTGTGGAACTTCTACTTCAGGTGGGGTTTTAGTCATCTCTTCTATTCTCATTTCCTCCCCCTGGGGATTTCCATTCTCTTCTCCAGAGATTTTGTATGGGTTTTCTATTACGGGGTGCTTGGTTTTCTTGGGGGGCATTATGTGTGAGTCAGTATTTTCACTAATTAATTAAATAAGAGAATTTTACTCTCTCTCTTTTTTTAAGATATTTATTAAGATTTTCCACTTTAGTACATTAAAAATCAAAAAAGAAAACAAAAAAAGAAAAATTTAAAAACACATACAGTTTACAATCCTTATTTTTCTATAACATATTTCCCTGATACAGATAGGTAGCCGTGTTGGTCTGCCATAGTCAAAACAAAAAAAATTCCTTCCAGTAGCACCTTAAAGACCAACTAAGTTAGTTCTTGGTATGAGCTTTCGTGTGCATGCACACTTCTTCAGATACACTGAAACAGAAGTTGCCAGATCCTTCTATATAGTGAGAAGGTGGGGAGGGGTATTACTCAGAAGGGTGGTGGGAATGGGTGATTGGCAGATAGCTGAGATGAGCCTGTTGACGACTCTTAACGACTGCAATAGGTCTTACAGGAAAAAGCAAGGGGTGAGAAGGTGAAAAATGGCTTTGTCATGTATAATGAGATAAGAATCCAATGTCTTTGTTCAGACCAGGTTTCTCCATGGTTTTAAGTTTCATAATGAGTTGCAATTCAGCAGCTTCTCTTTCCAGTCTATTTCTGAAATTCCTTTGTAGTAAAACAGCTACTTTGAGATCTTGTATAGAATGTCCTGGGAGATTGAAGTGTTCTCCTACTGGTTTCTCTGTCTTGTGATTCTTGATGTCAGATTTATGTCCGTTTACTCTTTGGCGTAAGGTTTGGCCTGTTTGTCCAATATAGAGAGCTGAAGGACACTGTTGAAGGACATGACAAAGCCATTTTTCACCTTCTCACCCCTTGCTTTTTCCTGTAAGACCTATTGCAGTCGTTAAGAGTCGTCAACAGGCTCATCACAGCTATCTGCCAATCACCCATTCCCACCACCCTTCTGAGTAATACCCCTCCCCACCTTTTCACTATATAGAAGGATCTGGCAACTTCTGTTTCAGTGTATCTGAAGAAGTGTGCATGCACACGAAAGCTCATACCAAGAACTAACTTAGTTGGTCTTTAAGGTGCTACTGGAAGGATTTTTTTTATATTTCCCTGACTTCCCCACACCTCCCCTTCTTATATTCCAATTCAAATTGTTAGTTCAACAAGTTCTTGTCCCCAATTTTTAACCTTTTTATATTTAGTTCATTTTAAGAAACCAATTTTACCTTATAAACATCAGTATTTGTACATAGTACTCATTCTTAAGCCTTTTTTCTAAAGTCGACCCAAATTCCCTTCCATGAATTCCCCAATTTTTATACTAATAACAATACAAATAATAATAATAATAAAGACGGATTATAATTATGCACCCTTTGGATTCCCAAACTCCCCCCCACCCCTTTCCCGGTTTCAAGCCCCAACAAGTGTCCCTCAGTCTTAGTCTACTATCAGCCTGGAGATCTCACGTCCAAGGCTCTTAATTCTCTCTCAATTCCTCTCTGCCGGTTTTTTTGATAGTCCTTAGTATTAAGCACCAGATTTCGGAGAAGCTCTGGCCCAATGGGGTCCATGTTTCTTCCAGCCAGACCTCCATACTTAAAAGTGGAGCCCAAATCTTGTTTCTTCCTCCTTTCAAATCCAAATGTCCCAAAAGCTCCAACTTCCACCTTAATCAAAATCGTAATCCTTGGGTCTTCAGATCTCCACATAAGGAGATCTCTCCATTCTTCCGTCTCCAATTCAGACCAAATTTTCATCATCAAGTTCTTATTTTCCTTTGTAGCCATCATGTCAGGCCTCTGGCTCTCTTTTGTCATCTGCAACATTACATCTCCTCCTTCCTTTTCCTCAGAAACAACATATATCTCTTTCTCCACGCTCTCAAAACTCTCAAGTTTCTCCTCTTGTCCAGCTGCATGAACTTCCTGAATCAAGTCCTTATCAAATTCAATGAGTTTATTTACTGTTAAGTCCAGAGTTGCAACATTGGTAGCCAAAACATCAATTTGGCCTTGTAACTTTCCCAAGAGAAGAAAAACACTGTCCATTTTAGCTTGAATTTCCCCTCCTTCAGTCATTCTTGTAATGTCCCAAAATCCCCTCTAGAGGGATTTTGGTTACTTAGTATTCCTTCCAGTTCAAATCCAAAAGTCAAGTTAGTTTGTATCAGTTCTTCCTTGTTTTCAACAAAATATAACCAAATTGTAACAAATATAACCAGCAGAAACAACAGAAACAAAGTTCTCCTTTTCCGTCTTGACAGCTAATTTGACAGCTGTCAAACTCTCCAATACCTCTTCAACAGGCTCTCTCACGGATCACTCCCGGGTCCGGGGGGGTGGTACTTCAGCTCCCAAAATTAGCTCTTATCCTCCAGTAAGATTACTTATACTGCCAAATCGTGAAATTAATGCCTTTTACCCATTAAGTAGGGAAAAAATTCTCTTGACCTTAGTTAGTTGGTCCTTGCTTTAGATTATTTATAAGACGGGGAGACGGACTTCCTGTTTGCGCCTTCCCCGATCGTGCCTAATTCAAAAAAAATTTCTTTACAAGTCCAATCTCCGTATTACTCACGGGTTGTTGCTTTAGAGTCCAATTGTTCACAAGAAGAAGTCAGCGCTCTCCGACCATGGCATGCGGCTTCACTCCGTAGGAGAAGCAGTCGACTCTCAGCACCATGCCGCTCACCCCGTCCCCCGTTCCGTAGCCTTTAAAAAGGCTCCTTCGCAGGTCGGGGGGCGCTAATGGTGCCCGCTGAGTCACCAGGTTCACAGGCTTTGCCGCCTGTGATTTTTAAGGGTCCCCGCGTCGCCGCAGCGGCAAGACCCAAATCCTACGGAGCCGATTCCCTCTGGAGCTCGGAGGGAATCCGCCATTAGCCGATGGCGCTAACCCGGAAGTCTCAAGCGAATTTTACTCTCAACCCTGTTCCTCCCGGCTTGGCTTTTCAAGACCCTGGTCCCCAAAGTATAGCTTTAGGTTTTTGCCTCTAACTGTGCTGGTCCCGTGGGTTACCCGAGAGGCAAGGTCCAAGTCCGGTCTGTAGTCAAAGGTGCAACGGGGAGGCAATCCGTAGTAGCAGAAGCTGGGTGCAGGACAGGGAGCCGAGTGAAGTCAGAGCTCAGGCAGGAAGGCAGGACAGGGTTCAGGCAGGAACTGGCAACCAACAATGTTGCTCCTACAACTTGGGACTAGGGCTGGCCAGCTTTTATCTGCCCCGAGGCATAGGGCGGCCCCAAGGCATAGGGCAGCCCCGATCCTCTGGTGACTCGCATCTCCTGGCCTGGAGGCGAGCCCTCCTCCTGCAGAAACTTAGCTCCCTCCGCCTCTCTGCCCTGAGCCTCTGCAGCTCAGGAGCGCTGGAGGGTTACTGGACCCAGAGGCAACCTCAGCTTCCTCTGATGGGGCTGAGAGTGGAGCAGCTGCAGGCAATGGGTCCTCCATCACCTCAGGAGCCAGAGCAGACTCAGCTGATGCCTGCACCTGAGGATCCAGCACAGGTGAGGACCCTTCAGGCTCATGCCCCAGCCCTGGCTCAGCTGGTTCTGGAGGTGGGGAATCCTGTGCAGGCTGGGATCCCTCAGGTTCAGAATCCGAGTCTGAATCCCAGGCCATCACACTAACCTTTCAAGCTCACATCCACTGACCCTGAGCCTAAGCCTCTGCCAGAACAGTCTTTTGAGATCTCTCGCTCTTATTGTGATCTCGGCCTCATGGCAATCTGGGGTTTACCTCAATCACACCCTCGGGCCAGGTAATCACTTCACCGATTTTACCCTTCCCCCTCTCCAGGTGTATTGCTTCCCCTCACAGGCTCTTAGACTAATCGTATCCCACCACTGCCGCCACTTTTCTATGGCGATCACACAGGGTCCCCGGACGTTTCACCGTATATTGATCCCTGTGCTACCACTTTATTTCTCCCTGCCACCACCCAGGCCCTACCAGGTAAAATACTGAGTCCAGTCAGGGTTAAATTGGAACATAAACTTCTGTTTATTTATTGCAGTTTAACAAGCGTGTGTTTTCATAAATGGTCTCAGTCAGTTACAATCATGGGGTGCCTATCCAGACCTATAACTTCCGCTCCCTGCTCTCACTCACTAAACTACCTCTCAGATATTTTACTTGTCTTCCTAGCTCCTAACTGTTCCTGACTCAGCTTATTTCGCTACACTAACTCAACCTACCCACAGACTATATCCCAATTCACTCCCACTCCAACCAACCACCCAACTCCCAACGAACTCCCCCTTTTTGCCCCTCCCAGAGCTGGTTTGATAGTCCCTCTGACTCCACCCTCCTGGGTTCTGATTTGGTAACCCGTTTAACTATTTAACCTCCAGCACTCTCATATGTTAAGGTAACACCATCGTTGCTATATTAAAGTCTTTTTCCTTTACCAGCATTGATTACAGAAACCATTCAAAGGCTATCACCATGTTTAGACTATAGCAGCTACTTTTCAGATATTTCTTAAAATTATCCCATTCTAGTATGAACTTCTGTCTGGGCTTATCTCTAATTCTTTCACAGAGAAAAGCTAACTCTGCATATTCTCTCAGTTTCAACAGCCATTCAGTTCTAGTAGGGATTTTGTCATTTTTCCAATACGTCGCAATAAGCATTCACGGCAGCGGTTGCGTACGAAAAACTTTTTCTTATATCCTTAGGAATATCAGTACCAGTGATGCCCAGTAGGAATGATTATGGTTTTTTAGGGAAATTTACATTGAACATTTTTTAAAGTTCTAGATGACTATCACTCCAGAACCCTTTAATATTCCTGCAAGTCTACCATATATGAAACATAGTGCCACCTGCTTTCCCACATCTCCAACAAATATCTGGGATTATTCCTGTACATTTTGGAAAGCTTACGTGGCATCAAGTACCAGCTATACAGCATTTTTTTCAGGTTTTCTCTTACGGAACAGCACGCAGTAAACTTCCCAATTTACCTTCCAAAGATTCTGCCATTGGTACATCTCAGTGGTATGGCCATGGTCTTGATCCCACTTAATCATGGCCAATTTAACCTCCTCCTCCTTGACTTCCCAGTCAAGGAGGAGTCATTAGGCCTTAGAAAGTGTTTTGGTATTGGAGTTAATGACACAAGATCACAGTTCTTGTAGCGGATGTCAGCACTGACAACTTCAAATTCATATTATACTCCAGGGTAGAGAAGCCCAAAATCTTGCTCAAGTAGAACCAGCATTGATCTTTTACCCTAACCCTCCCCCCCAAAACCAAAAACCAAGCAACTGGAATTGAAAACACCATGTTTGCCCTGGGCATTCTATGTATGATCTAGTGCCCACCCTCAAATCTGGCTTGCATAAAACTTGGTTGTGCCTTACAATCACACACCTGTAGGTAGAGGAGTCATGGTTACAGAGATCTCATTTTAGGTGTGCAGACAAAATTTGGGAGTGGCTTCCCTTCGGACCAATACATCATTTCTGCAGCATTAAACTATGGAATTTGCTCCCAGAAGATGTAGTGATTCCAATCAACTTGGATAGCTCAGAAAGAGAATCAGATAGGTTCATGGAGGGTAAAGCTATCAATGGGTACAAACCACAAGGGCTGTGTTCTGCCTACGCTGTGGCTATGGATATCACTTTCTGGAAATTGTGAGGAGAGTGCTGTTGCATTCAGTTTCCTGTTTGGAGGATTGCTTTTGGATGGCATGCATATTTGTGGTACGACAAGGCAAAGGTTCATAAAGGGTTCAAAAACCATATTGTCAGAAAAGCAATATTTATTGTCTGGACAAAATATAAAGACTTATTGGAAAATAAAACTCCGAGGCCAAGGCCCGGAAAAGACACAATATGGAAGCCAGTTGGCCGAAATATTGGGAAATAATAGAAAAAATTGGAGAAAATTGGAGGTTGCAGAGCTTGGAGAAATTAAAGAGTAAGGTGCGAGACTGGTTACATTACGCTCAAATTAAAGAGGTTTTTAATTTGGATAAAAAGATAGGATTCCAGGTGGAAAAATCGAAATTAGAGACAGAACTATTAGAACCAAAGACTAAGGTACTTTCGAGAATGTATAACTTGCTGCTTAAATGGAATACTCAGGATGAGACAGTTAAATCAGCCATGATAAAATGGGCCCAGGATATTGGGCATAACATCATGTTTGAGGACTGGGAAAGGTTATGGACCACCGGAATAAAATTCACGGCATGTAATGCCTTGAAGGAGAATATTATGAAAATGATATATAGGTGGTACATGACCCGTCAAGCTAGCAAAAATATATCACCTGTCTGATAATAAATGTTGGAAATGTAAGGAGGCTGAAGGAACATTTTTCCATCTCTGGTGGACCTGTCCAAGAGTGAAGGCCTTCTGGGAAATGATCTATAATGAGTTAAAAAAGGTATTTAAATATACCTTCACGAAGAAACCGGAGGCCTTCCTTTTGGGCATCGTCGGCCAGAAAGTGTTGAAAAAAGATAGAACTTTCTTTATGTATGCGACTACAGCAGCAAGGATACTTATTGCAAAGTATTGGAAGACACAAGATTTACCCACACTGGAAGAATGGCAGATGCAATTGATGGACTACATGGAATTGGCAGAAATGACTGGCAGAATCCGAGATTTGGGAGAAGAAACAATGGAAGAGGACTGGAAAAAGTTTAAAGACTATTTACAAAAACAGTTTAAGTTGTATGAATTTTAAGAATTGCGCGATTTAGAAAAATATGGTTCCAGTAAATTTATGGTAAACTCAAGTTACAATTAATTGAAAAAACCAAGAACATTTCTGAAATTTTATGTGAGAGGGAGGGAGATGTAAGAATCAATAAGTAGATGGTATGAAAATTTTGTTTTTTTTTTTTTATTTATTTCTAGCTTTATTTGTGTGAATTTTTTTATGTTGATTTAAAAATTTATTACACAGAAAGAGAATCAGATAGGTTCATGGAGGGTAAAGCTATCAATGGGTACAAACCACAAGGGCTGTGTTCTGCCTACGCTGTGGCTATGGATATTACTTTCTGGAAATTGTAAGTGAGGAGAGTGCTATTGCATTCAGTTTCCTGTTTGGAGGCTTCCCATAGGCATCTGGAGGAGTAGACAGGGCCTTTCTTGCCTGGTCCAGCAGAGTTCCTCTTATGCTTTTCTACTCTTATTAAGCAACGGAAAATATAAATGTGCAAGCAACTGACACCTTCACATGGCCAACAGCATGCTGCCATCCAGTTTGAATATTGTGAGATGGGTTTTACATTAAAAGGGGGAAAGTGGCTATTTTAAGCAATGACAGAAGTTTGAGTAAAGTAGGACTAGAGGGACACTGAGAGGTAAAATGCTGCTTTTAAACAAAATCAGAGGTTTGCATTGCAACGGGGAATAGCACAGAGTTTATAAGGATGGGGATGTGTTGTAGCCCCTAGTAAAGGCTCTTGATTGAGTTCTTTCACTCCTTCTGGCAGCTGGAAGCTGAATTTTCTCAGCAAGCTGGTCAGGAAGATGAAGATTTCGATCTTTGCCAGCTGCATTCCCAAACAGATGCGAGCCCCTGAAGGAGGGACATGGGAAAGTCAGCAAGTGAGTAATAATTTACTTATCAGTGTAAATTACTTCGCAGCTATAAAACTCCTAGAGCCTTCAGTTGCAAGGACTGAGACACAGCCTCTGCCTGAGACCTTGCAGAACCCCTGGCAGTCAGAGGAGAAACCCCACAACTCAGGCCGAGTGTGTGTGTGTGTGTGTGTGTGCGTGGTGTGCGTGCTGTAAAAATGCTTTAAAATGTTTTAATATATATATGGAATTTGCCATTAGCCCATCAGCACCATAGAGTTCACATTTGTATAATGCACTTGAAAAGCAATTAAAATGTTATATTGCAGCTGTGTTGCTGAGTCCTCAGTATAAGAACACTTGTTTTCTTTCAGAAAAAGGGGGGGGGACTCACTACCTCTAAGGTGCCTATATTAGCCATGTTAATTTGCATTTCAACTGTTTCATCAAAGAAGTCTTAGAATACTAAATGATTCCATGTGTAGTATGAGAATGATTATACTATGAAATCCAACACTAACAATTAGATCCAATGTATATCGACCCAGAAGTAAATCCCCATTATTTCAGGAGGGAGTTCTCTGATAAGTGCACATAGGAATGCTGTTTAAACTTTCTAAAATTTTATTTTTTTTAAAAAAAATCTATACCACCCACTCATAAAATAAAGGTGGTGTACAACACTATCTACAAATACAATAGGACATAAGTGTGGGATAAGCATGTTGGTTATATGAGGCTGGTTAAGTCTAATCAAAGCATGACATGAATACGAGTATAGAGTAAGTTGTCTTTCCAGGCTTACCTCACCTTACAAAATGCCCAGATTCTGACACATAGGGGACAAAAATATTCATTTGTTCTTTAAAAATTGAAACATGACAGGGAGCAGCAGCATCCTGGTCCTGGCAGTGTTGCCTCTCTCAGCGACAGGGCAAGTGAGTAGCAAGTTTGCAGAGGTCCAGACTGTCAGTGATGGAGGCCCCATAGGTGAATATCTGCCTACCCAAGATATCCCCTAAACTTTTCATTGCCTTCCCCCATCCTGAGCCACTCCTCCCAGAAGTACACTACTTCTCCTCTAGCCCCTTGCTGCTGTTGATATCATTTCCTGGAAGTGCTGAACAAGCACAGCTACAATTCACAACATAGCTTTAACTTCTGCATTTACCTGCACCAAATGGCAGGTATTCTTCTCTGTCCACAAATTGTCCATTTTTGTCCAAAAAATGATTTGGGTTGAACTCTGCAGGTGTATCCCATCGTGTCGGATCAAGAAGAACAGAGCGCAGATCAGGAAAAATACCAGTCCCCTGCAAAGAAGAAACAATTGAATCAGAATGCACTCAGATAAATACATTTCTTGGGCTCCATGATTACTGCAGATGGTGACAGGAGTCACAAAATTAAAAGATGCCTGCTTCTTGGGAGAAAAGCAATGACAAACCTAGACAGCATCTTAAAAAGCAGAGACATCACCTTGCCAACAAAGGTCCATATAGCTAAAGCTATGGTTTTCCCAGTAGTGATGTATGGAAGTGAGAGCTGGACCATAAAGAAGGCTGATTGCCAAAGAATGGATACTTTTGAATTCTGGTGCTGCAAAAAGATCAAACCTATCCATTCTTAAAGAAATCAGTCCTGAGTGCTCACTCGAAGGACAGATCCTGAAGCTGAGGCTCCAATACTTTGGCCACCTCATGAGAAGAGAAGACTCCCCGGAAAAGACCCTGATGCTGGGAAAGATGGAGGGCACAAGGAGAAGGGGACGACAGAGGACAAGATGGTTGGACAGTGTTATAGAAGCTACCAACATGAATTTGACGAAACTGCAGGAGGCAGTGGAAAACAGGAGTGCCTGGTGTGCTCTGGTCCATGGGGTCGCTAAGAGTCAGACACGACTAAACGACTAAACAACAACAACAAATCCCAGAACTAAATTTTTCAGAGTTCAGACTGAATCCAAACTTGGGGCTATGTGTGTGTGTGTGTGTGTGTGTGTGTGTGTGTGTGTACACATTTTCCAGTAGCCATATTCACTCCACCTTCCCCCCTTAAAAATATTTCTGTAAAGACAGGAACACAGGGTGCCCCCCAGGCTGAGACTTCTGGCCACTGCATGTTCCTTCCCTGCCCCACATGCCCGATGTCTGCAGGTGGAGCTCCTGCTCTTGTTTGTCTTTCTTGCCCTTCAAGTTTTAGACTACACAGAAAGTTTCTGCATGGCTGCCTGCATCTCTCAGTATGCAACCTTCTGTTGCTCTTTGCTCTTGGGATACGTAAGTGCAGTCATCTCAATCTCCTGTACCTTGGGAATGAGAAAACCATGAATCTTCACATCCTTTGTGCATTGCCTGTTAACCCCAAAAAGAAAGGCATATTTAAAGCGCTGCATTTCATGAATCACAGCATTGGTGTAGGGCAGTTTCTTCTTATCTTGATAGCCGATTGAGTGAGCAGAACCTATGACATCATCTATCTCCTTGTAGGCTTTATCTGAAGAGAATGATAGAAACATATGGTTTATTTTGAATATTGCATTCCCCCCCCATGGACATTTATTTCCCATGAACTTATTCCATACGATTCTGTGAATGAGTCCCTGTTTCTTACATTTATAGCCCACCTATTCCTCCAAGGAGCTCATGTCAATGTACATGGTTCTTCTCTACTCTAGATCCCAGGGGTGAAAAAGGGGAAAGTGAACCTCCGCTCAGCTGTTTCCAGTTACTAGAGCTGGCTGAAGGGCTATGATCCAAGGCTGTCTGTTTTACACTTAAAAACAAACAAACATATCCTCCACCCCACAATATTTCCTACTTTCTTTCATTAATCCTCTTTTCCTCGCCTGATCTCAGTCATGCAGTGGAGCATGAAGAGGCGGAGATGAGGCTCAGGCAATTTTATTTCACATCAGGGGCAATGGTGATGTCTGCTGGGGACCTCTTGGCCAGCTCTCTGCATGCCGAATAATGATGAATTTCTCAAAGAGAAAATCACCCACTCATCTAAGAAGATGAAAAGGTGGGTTATACTGGCTACATGTTAAACTGACATTTATATTTTAAAAGATTCCAGAGTCCCAAACAAAATGTTGGGAGGGAGGGAGGGAGGGAGGGAGGGAGTCCACCAGAACTCTTCCAGGCTGGGTGTTATGCAAAGGAGCACCAAGGATAGACAGGGTGGGCGAGAAGAAAAATGGTGGCTTCTTATTGAAGTCATAACCTGTGCATTGATCAATATTTCATATTTGTTGCAGGGTTGTAGAAGGGGCATCGCTTGGGGGTTGTCATGAAGGGAGCCTGGGCTTTTGGATTGACCACTACACCCCTGGCAAAAGCAATTAACCTCTTTATGCATCTTTCTCTTCCTTCCTTCCTTTGACCATGCTGCTTGTCAAGCTTCAAATTGCCTTCCCTACTCCTTTTTCTATTCCTTTCCTCTCTCTCCTCATTCAAATCCCTCCTCACGGAATAAAATGGTATAAAATTGGAAAGCAGTAATGTGTGTGTGTAAACGTGGGGCAGAAACAAAGGAGCAAGGAGCAGGTCTGAGGAAAGGAGAGGAGACCTGTCACCAATGTCCCATGCTCTTCCCTTGAAATCCTTGTACAGTGGTAGCTCGGGTTACATACGCTTCAGGTTACATACGCTTCAGGTTACAGACTCCGCTAACCCAGAAATATTACCTCGGGTTAAGAACTTTGCTTCAGGATGAGATCAGAAATTGTGCAGTGGTGGTGCAGTGGTAGCAGGAGGCCCCATTAGCTAAAGTGGTGCTTCAGGTTAAGAACGGACCTCCGGAACGAATTAAGTACGTAACCAGAGGTACCACTGTACACAGCATGAACATTGGTTTTAAGGAGGCCTTGCTTGCATGGATTTATTTATTTAAAATGTGTTTCTAAAATGCTTAATAATTGAAACATCTTTTAGCAGTGTACGTTATGCGAAATACAGAAACAGAACAAAACCACACACATGATTCACATATGGCAGAGGGAAGAGCATTCCACAACCCAGGAACAAGAATAGAAATGCTCATTTTTGGGACACCACTCGATTGCATTCTGTAATAAGTGTAAGTGACCTTACAGAATCTCATTCTGTTAACCTAGTCCCAAGTTGTTCACGGCTTAATAGCTTAAGAATAAGACCTTGAACATGGCCTGGTAGCTCATCAGCTACCTCAGCAGAGGTGTATGTTATTCATTCAACAACCTGGCCAAAGCATTCTGCACCAGCTGCATATTCCAGACCAGTCCCAGGAGAAGCACTTTAACTGTGCAACAAAAAGTCCTTATGCTGATGGAACAAGTGCATTGAATATTGCAATTATAAACTGCTGAATCAAAAATAAAATCTCTAAGATGTATGCATCGAACATGACATAATTATTAATAATATAGAGATTAATTCAACAGGATTCAGAGACAAGATTATGTAACTGAATTATGTGCCCATATAGGTTGCTGAAATGAAACGTTTTAACCAGCATCTAAAACCATATAACAAAGTTGCTTGCTTAATGTTTGCCTACGGACAGTGTGGAAAGGGCCTATCGACCAGAGCCAGGGCCTTTTCGGCCCTGGCCCCAGTCTGGTGGAACGCACTGTCACAAGAGACCAGGGCCCTGCGGGACTTGACATCTTTCTGCAGGGCCTGCAGGACAGAGCTGTTCCGCAGGACCTTTGGTCGCGGCACAGTCTGACCTGACCCCCCTCCTTTTACAAGACTCTGCATATAAGTGCCCTCTCTATCTATTCTCACCGGCTTATACAAATAGCTGGGCCTGGTGAGTACTTAAGGTTCCCAATCCTATAGTTATAATTTGTGGGTAGCCATCTGAGTTTATTTTAATTTTAATCCGATTTTAAGCTTTATTTCAGTTGATTGCTGAATTTATGTTTTAATGTATTATATATTTTGATGTTAGCCGCCCTGAGCCCGGTTCTGGCTGGGGAGGGCGGGATATAAATTAATAATAATAATAATAATAATAATAATAATAATAATATTTCCTTAGATGCGTGTGAAACCTGTAAAGAATTACAGTCCACCCTAGTGATCAAGAGAAGCCCTCGCTCCCATTGCACCGGTCTCTCTCTCTCACCTTGGATATCTGGATGACTTGCCAGGAGAAGAAGTGCCCATTTCAGAGAACAGCTGGTTGTGTCCGACCCTGCTACGAAGAGCTCAGAAATACACTGAATCAAGTTTTCTTCATCATAGGTGGACTCTGGGATGTTTTTGCTCTGATATAGAAAGCGGGGAAGGTGACATATCATTTGCATGCACTACAATCTATCCTTCAGCACTCACTTTATCTTCTTTACTCCACTTATTACCATACCACCCACACATGCTTGTTGTGGGGCAGGGCATCCCATTACACTGCCTGCTGCAAAATGGGACAATGCCACCACTACTGCCTTCAATACCTGGGCTGCATGGCAGTGCCCACAAAGTGGCAATGAAAACAGGAGGCCCAGTTGAGATCTTGTGAGGTTTCAGGGAAATCTCTCTGGAATCTGCCACCACTGCCATCATCGCTTCTCCATCAGTGGTGGGCTAGGTGGGGTATTCACAGGACTAGAGATGACATGTGTACACAACAGTAGCTGCCAGTGCTGCATTTGAGGATCTGTGCGGTAATAATCCAACACTGGCATGTTGCAAAGGAGCCAATGGAATCTCTCTGGCAGCAGATATTCAAAATGTGCATTACTTACCACTAAACATACTTAACCATTCTTTCATCACCATAATAAGGATTGTTGAAAGAAGGAAAGAATATGTATGAATATAGATGAGGCAGAGGTTTGAAGTTATGTTTAGGAATATTTTGTTTAGGATTTGTTTGGTGCTGTTGATGAAAATGAGGAGTGATATTATTATTATTATTATTATTATTATTATTATTATTATTATTCCTGCCTTGCATTGTAATGTGCATTAAGACACCTGCCACAATCTACTTGGTGAGTTGGCCATTCATACTATTCAGGCATCACAGGCGACATTTGAGTGGTGAAGATATGCTTATGAGCTACAGCAGTGATTCTCAAAACTTTGTCCAACTGCTGCCCCCTTGATTCCATCAACTCATTCCCAGTGTCCTCTACCCTAATAAAAATAAGTTACAATTAATTGCACATTTATTCAAAATCCAGTTAAAACTATTCAGTTTAATTAATTAAGCAAAACTGATTAACTTGATCAAGTGATACTAGCTTTTCAAAGTCTGATAGTCATTTACACCTCCAGCCCTCCCTCCCAGGAGGCAGTGCCACCCACTTTAGGAACCACTGAGCCATAAAATCTTACAGTTAACATTGTCTATAAAGAAATGGCTTGTGCTCACTATTTTTTCTCTCTGGTTTTCAGATTTTAACAGTTCAGTTTGTGCTCTGAAACACAGGTTGGGGCCACAGGGCAGAATGGGGAAATTGTATACTGTCCTACAAAGGATAGCATGAGTAAGAACTATGTACTGATTAGTCATAGGATAGGCTATAATCAAGGGGGGGTTAAAAACCACTTTAGCCATTCAGTAGAATTATATTTCTTATAGAAAATGCATTTATTTTCTATATAGAGGTTATGTATCAATGAATGGTTTAATTTGGAGGTCTGGTTGTCAAGGAAGACAGATGATAAGTGAAGTGTGATTTTGAGGGTTCAGAGTCTGGGGATGCCCAGGATAAATGAAGTGAAGAAGATAACAAAGCAGGGAGGGCACTTTTTGCCACTTGACCTTTGACCTCTCTTGATTTATGCATTCTATGAGATAATGATGCATTATGAGGTATGATTATATGTGAAAACCCTGTAAAAGCCTTGTTAAAATGTGCCTTCGGGGAAGTTCTCCTAACTTGTGGTTCGCTGGATAAATGGTTTGGAGGAACTATCGCGATTGCAATACTTTGTTGCCAATAAACTGGGTCGCTATCAGACACTTGCATATCAATCTTGGTTGTGTTTTTATTTATGGTTTTGTTCCCTCAACTGGGAAAGAACCAGTGGTTTAGAAGTAAATGCTTACCACAGTACAAATATATCCTCTTCTGAGAAATAGTGAGTTAAAAATGAAATTATGGAACCAGTAAAGTTTTTTTTTATTGTCTCAGTCTGTGTTTGAATGTGAGATTAATTCTAATCCAAAATAATTTAGTTACAGGCAATGCTCCATAGGCAAGACTCTAAACAAACATAAGCCTTTCATTCACACTTAGATTTGGGGATATTAAACTATCAGCATTTTCATGGATGTATGCCCACATTTCACAGATGTACAACCACTTCAGCAGCTAAGATTACTATGGGGAAAATTGTGGGGGAGAACCTCAATGTGATTTTCAGCTGAGATTTGGGAAAAAATATTGGTGTCCTTGGAAGAGATTAGCATTCACTTATAACAAGGAATATAATGACTCCTGGGATGAGCAGTATTCAGTTGCAAAACAGATACTTACTTTCTCCATCTGAAGTAGATAGAAATCTATGAAATCCTGTGGCTCATGCAGAGACATATTCTCCTTATGCTTCTCTATCTCCTCCTTTGCAAATGAACGCACCATCTCCAGGCAGGACAAGGCCTTCTTGTGGGGCCCTGGGAGACGTTTCATGAGCCACGGGAACATTTCATAAAGCTAAAGGAAAGATAGAGAAAAACTGGTCACATGGTTCGTGCTTTGGATTAGCACTTTAAAAAACTGATTTACCGTAGATTATTCTTCAGGGGTAGTTTATTAGTTTGAGTCTCATTGAGAAGAAGGAAGGTGTCTGCAACTTCTCCTGAATCCCACAATGACTGGATACTGGGAATTATCCCTGGCTGAAAATGTGAAATAAAACTAGGGCTCAAAAGATTTTTCCAGCTGACAGGCTTCATTCCAAAACTGGGCACAATCCTAGGACTCCTAATGGAACAAGAGACTGGCCTTTTTACAGGAGATGGGTGTGGGTGGAAAATAGAGATGGGGAGAATTTGTTTATGTATTGAATTCCCCAGTCCCCCAGTTAAGTAATACCCATGACTCCCCTTAAAAAAAAAATTAAACCTTTAAGAAGGGAGCTTTTCCTTTTCCCTCATTTTCTCCTTAAAGATCAATTAGTGCCCAGAATTGGACACAGTATTCCAGGTGTTGTCTGACCAAGGCAAAATAGAGTGGTACTATTACTTCCCTTGATCTGGACACTATATTTCTGTTGATCTTGAGAAATTGATTAGGCTCTTAGACAGTAAGTGGACCTTACATCAGATTAAATTAAATTCTGATTTTACTTCTTCAACACTCTAACCTCTATCGTAATGGATTACAGAATGCTGATCGGGGGACTTAAGACCCCAGTAGGAATGAAAATGTCTACTCACAACATGTAAGATGCTACCGGGAAATTTTAGGAAAATTTCAATGGCTTTCATCAACTTCTGGAACCTTTCATCTTCAAGAGCAAACCGATGCCCAAAAGCCACAGCACATATCACGTTGGAGACTGAATTAGTGATGGGCATGGAGGGGTCAAGTGGTTGTCCTGCAAAAGCAAGTTATACTAATGTGAATTCAGCCACTCTTGTTCATACCAAGAGTGGTATTTTATGGTGGTCAACAGAAACAGCAATTTGTTTCCACATTAGGGATCAAGCACAGAGGGTCAGTGGGTCTCACTGTTAACCAGAAGGCTGGTGGTTCATGTCCACCCAGGGACAGCTGGTTGCTAGAGGTTGGACCAAGATCCCTTCCAACTCTGCAATTCTATAATTTCAAAATATATCATATTCCTTGGAATGTACAGAGGCCATACACAGAGATTTCTTCATACTACAACATATGCTAGGCTCGAACTACTAGGTCTGGGTGATATCAACTTTTCAACATTGTGATGTATCACCAGCCAAACATTGTGATATAGTGATACATCACAATGGTGAAAAGCAGAGGAGGAAGAAGCTGCATTGGCCCCAACCCCCACGAGGTGTTGGGGTGAAACCGCCTCAGCATCCTCAGTGGGAGTGGAGGCGGTTTTACCCTGGTACCTCATGAGGCTGGGCCCGATGCTACCTGTTCCCCCTCTGCGCATGGGGGTGGTGGCAGGGGGGGCTGAGAATTGGTGGTAGTTTCACTAGCAATATACCACCAGGTGAAGGTGTCATCGTGCTCTGGCCCTCAAACCAGTCCTGGACAATGTATTGATACGTAGCGCCATCACCTAGCATCACATACCCTTTGAACGTGCAAAAACCTCCACGAGCTGATAGGCCTCCTCTGCTACTTGCTGCTCCATGCCTTTCTTCCCCAGTCCCAGCTTCCGCATAGAAACTACACCAAACCGTCTCTGTTGCCTCCAGGTGTGACCATTTGATAATACAATACCTACGGAAAAGCAATGAGAAATTATTTCTTTCCGAAATTAATGTTAAACATTAAGTTACCAGCCAAGAAGAAACTTTGTTTACTGACATTCATTATTGATTTACACAAAGGTTTTGGCTATCCCAATTTGTGTGATAATATAACAGAATTTAGGTGGTCCCAGAAATTCCTGCACTTTACAATATTGGCAAAATGTGAGATTTATGTACAGCTCTATGAACTTTGACTTTTGTAGGGAAAACTGGTACCTGATACACTAGTAATTTCTGCAACAAAGACTGAATTTGCAAGTATCTAGTAGTAGTAGTAGTAGTAGTAGTAGTAGTAGTAGTAAAGGTAAAGGGACCCCTGACACCATTAGGTCCAGTCGCAGACTCTGGTGTTGCGGCTCTCATCTCGCTTTACTGGCCAAGGGAATCAACGTTCAGCTTCCGGGCCATGTGGCCAGCATGACTAAGCCGCTTATGGTGAAACCAGAGCAGTGCACGGAAACGCCGTTTACCTTCCCACCAGAGTGGTACCTATTTATCTACTTGCAATGGCATGTTTTCAAACTGCTAGGTTGGCAAGAGCTGGGATCAAGTAACAGGAGCTCACCCCATCGCGGGGATTTGAACTGCTGACCTTCTGATCAGCAAGCCCTAGGCTCTGTGGTTTAGACCACAGCGCCACCCACGTCCCACCAGTAGTAGTAGTAGTAGTTATTATCATCGTCATCAACATCTGCATACCACCCATCTCACTAGGTTTCCGCAGCAGAATATAAAAACATTATAAAACATCAACCATTAGAAACTTCCCAATACAGGGCTGCTTTCAGAGGTCTTAAAAAAGTTTTGTAGTTCTTTATCATGAGATACCATCAGATGTAAACTTGCTGTCTAGGGCAACTATGCCACAACAAACGAGGGACAGAATTAAGTTTATGCATTTGTAGTTTTCAGCAGTAGACTCATTGAAACTAATGAGCCTAAGTTAGTAATATCTGCCAATTTCATTGGGTCTTTTTTATCACCCTAAGGCTCATTGTTCTCTATAATCCTCCCACACATGCTCGAAAACTTGTGCCTGGTGCAATGCAGTAAATGCAGTAATATTATAACTACAAAAAAACCAAACAAATACATAGAATTCAGAGCCAGAGGGTTAAAAGACAATAAAAGACTATGAAACTGACCTGGCTAGAGGATAAAAACCGCAGTGAAAATAGAATTGCCAGTGAGCAGCCTTCTCATTCTGATGAAGGGACTGAGAGTGAATTGGATGCCAAGCTGGCACCAACACTGCTGTTGGGATTTGTGCACTCACCAGCTGCGTGATAGCAGCATATTGTTTATATCATGTGATGATTCTGATGGGCCGCTCGCCAACAACTGCCTCCTTCTTTAAAGGCAGAGAGACACCAGGTGTGAGCAAACTTTGCAAGCCCAACATGCTCAAATGAGCACCCACTTGCTTCCCAGCCCTGAGCTCTGCTCGCCTACTGCACTAAGAGCTCTGCCTACCGCATTCTTCAAAAGAAAGATGTGGGAGACGTATTGCTACTTGGATCAACACCTTAGCTGGTACTATATTTATCCATGTTCCTATACCTCTTATGCAATTGCTACATCTTGTAACCTGTGTCTTGGCAATGTACCAATCTGATGTAGGCATTAAAGCCTTTGGTAGAAAGAGCTAGGAATTCAAGTTCTTTTTCCAGCACTGAGAGCCAGGACAGTCAATGAATTACAATTGCAACAAGCAACAAACTGCTACCTGCAATTGAATCTCTAATCACCATGCAGAGCAATTGTTACTATGGAATTCTTGGTCTTCACTACTTACCCTTTCCTTCTGCTATATCCACAAAGAAAGGAGTCTCTGGTCGCTCATCTAATTCTTCAGAGTGGTCAATGAGCGCTTCTTTCACTGCTTGGAATCCAGACAGCACTACAAAGGGTACATGTCCTAACCATATGGTGTAAATATTTCCATATTGCTTTGCCAGCTAACATTTGGGTAAAATAGAGGGGAGGAATGTTATGTTCAAAGAAAGCAGATGGCTATTTCAACTTAATGTGTGGCTTCAGCCTTCCTCACTTCTGCAGCTTCTTGCTATGTGCAGTTCTTTGCCTGCTTTTCCTTCCTTCCTTCCTTATTCCTTCCTTCCAGCCCATTTGTTTTATTCCCTGCTGCCTGTGTTTTCCCTGCCTGGGGGGGGAAGGCTTATAAATGTATTCAATAAACAAATACATGAAGCAAATGTGGACTAACAAAGAGTGTGGAAGAGCCCTTGAAAAAGGCCTGTTCTGCTTGTCTCCTGTTTTCTGTTGTCTTCTCAATCTGCAAGTTCCCCTCTGGTATTCCTGGGGGAAAAAGGGATTGTAAGCTCCATCTTCACTGCCAAGAGAACTTGATGCCCATTAATCAGTTGCAATGGGGAAAGTACACATCATTTTAGGACATGCAGCTGCAACATAAAATAGAAGAGAAGGAAGACAAGCTCCAGGGCTGCTTAACCAAAGCAAAATGTGTTTTAGAGATATGCCTTCTTCAACCAGCAGCTGTATGCAACACCCATAATAATATTAAAACCAGGGTTTTTCTCAGCCAGAACTCAGCAGAACACAGTTCCAGCACTTCTCAGGTGGGTTCTGGAAGCTCTTAGGTGGGTGCCACTGCCCTTCTAAGAGAACAAGCGCAGCTTTCATAGTGAATTCTGGCACCTCTTTTTCTAGAAAAATAGCACTGGTTAAAAATAATGTAAAACTAAAAATACAAGATTATGATAAATACTGCATAGCACAAAACCACAGAATTGGGGCATGGGTCATTATGTGGAATCAGGAAAATACACATGCCAAAAGGTTGCAGTTTCTATATGGCATGTGTCGACTCGTAGGTGGTAGCAGAATCACCTTGTGGACTCCCTGTCTCAGTGCCATTCGTTTCACAGCTGCAGTTGGTGCTGCCCTCTTCGTGGGAGCAGTACTTGGAGATTAGTATTTACTACAGAGATCCGTTAAGATGAAAGGGCTATATTAGTCTTTGAACTGCATTTTTATAGTTTCTTTTTTTCTCTCTCTTCACTTTATTGAAATTCATTAATATCATTACAAATTTAACTTCACAAATACACATACACATGCATACAAAGAGAAAAAATTTTAAATTTGAATTGCTATAAGATGTTGATTTAAACTTCAAATTCCGCTTAGATTTTCACTAAGCTAAGATCAAATAATATCACATAAAATAAAAATAACATATATCAAAGTAAAATAAAATGATAAAATAATTGTGGAATTCCCATCATTTCCCGGTATAGTTGATTTTTACGATTTTGAATGCACTTATAAATATTGCCTTACTATTAACGTACCTTTGAATACTTTCTTACAACATATCATACCAATTTTTCTTTGTTTCTTAATATTTTACTTACACAAGGGTCATTCAAACACTGCCATAGATAGTATGTCACTGTTTTTTTTTGTTTTTTTCTGTACGTATCTCTTAAACATTTCCCACTTTTGAAAAAATGATTGCTTTGCGTTACTTCTTAACCTATTTGTTAACTGAGCCATTTCCACATAGTCTAATAATTTATTTTGCCATTCCATTAATGTTGCTATCTTTCCCCCTCTTCCAATTAGATGCTATTAACAGACGAGTGGCAGCTGTTGCAGATAGAAAGATTTCTCTTGTATTTTTCGGAATATCTCTGCCCAAGATTCCGAACAGAAAAGCTTCTGGTTTCTTTAGGAATGTTACTTTAAAGATTTTTTTTCATCTCATCATAAATAATATTCCAAAACTCTTTAATTAAAATTTATAAAGAGTTTCTAATTTGAGTGAACAAAATGAAGACTTTTCAAGCCTAAACAACTTGAATAGCATATGCCGGTTTGTATAGGATGAAGCACTGCCCTGGACTCATGTTGAGGAGGACCTATGTGCTCAGTCCATTTTTAATGCATTTTCTTGTGTCTTGTGTGTGTGTGGTTCCTGCTGTGGGGCTTCAGATGGGGTGCTCATGCACACCAGAAGTAATGCCTTTAGAAAATTGGGAAGAATAAAGGTAAAGACTTCTCCATGTTAAATCACTGGTTGCTTATAAAAAATGCATGTTAAGTGCTTCCTCAATGCAATGGTATAGAGCAAGTTATCTTTTTGATCGCTAATTTCTGAGTGCACATTTTCAGCTTTTATATCGTTTTATGCTTTTAAGTATTAATAATAATACCCTTAAATAATACACAGGGGCAGTGCCTGGAATGGACTAATTCCAATCAACAAAATCACTGAATAATTTCAAAAATAATATCTGAATTGTTTATTTTATTTTGTATTTTTTTTAAATTTCTTTAGTTGCTTTTTCTTGCTCTTGTTACATCTGAGAACAGTTTATAAAAATTCTAGGTGATCTGAACATGAATTAAATTTCTTTGGCAATGGAGCCTTGGGTGATTTTTAATTAAATTCCGTTCTAAGTTTAATTCACTAATTTATAAATGTAGGGGATTTGTTGCATTCAATTCTGTTTTTAATTGGGGCCGTTGCATTTAACATTTAAACCACTGCTACTGTTTAAGCTTAAATAACTGTTGGGGAAAACAGATTAATCAATTGTTGACATTAGATTCAGTTATAACGAAGGAATAAGTACCTTAATCAAAGTATCAACACGAGGCTTCACTCCAAGCCGCCACATGCCTCCAATGAGAGGAAGCTGGAGAGGTCCAGGAGGATAATGCCTGTTTGACCAGAGTTGTTTCAGGAAGTGAAGAATCAGAAGAACCACCAGCAGAACAATAAAAAATCCCTGTATCTCCATCTTTCTTTGCCTTCCCTTTATCCTTTTTTCTTTCTAGGATGCCTTCTTAGGTTCAATCCTCTTTCTCTAAGGACTTTTTGCTTTCCTCAGAGACATCAGCATTTCTCTCTCTTTTTATATGCTCCATCATTATTATTATTTAAAAAAAAAAAGCAGTAAGCATTCTGACACCATATCCAATTAGCCTCGGAATGTAATTCCAAAGCTAAACACTATAATAATTCTTATGTGTGTCACTCAGATAAGAGGAGGTGTGTTTAATATGAATTGCAACAAGTATCCAGGGAAGTTTACTGTAAGATGGACTTTGGAAATATGTGTACCATAAGTTATTATTATTTTTATTTATTATTTATTAAATTTGCATACCACCCTTTAACAAAAGATCCCAGGGTGGTGTACAACATTTAGAATACATTTTATGGAGCAAAATAATATTTATCATAAATAATAATAAAGTTCACGGAATAAAAATGTATATATGCAATGATCTCCCCAGGAAGGTCCTGATAGGACCTTCATTATACACTTTTTGATGCCAGGAGAAAACGTTGGGTGGCTTTGGTTTTTGTTATTATTATTTATTCTCTGTTTTACATGTTGAAAAATATATCAAAACCATAGGAATGATTGAATGAGTGTCATTTCTCAGGGGTCCTCAAGTGTCTGTGTGTGTGTGTGTGTGTACATATATACATATATATATACACATATATACATAAAATATCTCTATGAAGGACACCAACTTGTGCTCAAAGGCCTGTTCTCATGTTCTCCTGGCTGACATATCTAGCTATCTCATCAAAACCCTCATGCCTTTGCTGGTTCATAAAGTTCAAATGCAGAGAAGCGATTATTCTGATTTATGACTGTGTTTACTCCTTCCTTCGGTTGGGTTTTCTTACCCTTTTGAAACAGCCTTTGATTGTGTTATCACACCTGATCCACCTGGCCTTGAATATTATAGATCAGACTATAATTTGTTCTCTTTTCTTAAGGTAAAGGGTAAAGGGACCCCTGACCATTAGGTCCAGTCATGACCGACTCTGGGGTTGCGGCGCTCATCTCGCTTTACTGGCCGAGGGAGCCGGCGTACAGGTTCCGGGTCATGTGGCCAGCATGACTAAGCCGCTTCTGGTGAACCAGAGCGGCACATGGAAACGCCGTTTACCTTCCCGCCGGAGCGGTACCTATTGATCTACTTGCACTTTGATGTGCTTTCGAACTGGGACCGAGCAACGGGAGCTCACCCCGTCGCAGGTATTCAAACCACCAACCTTCTGATCGGCAAGCCCTAGGCTCAGTGGTTTAGACCACAGCGCCACCCATGTTCCTGTGAGGGGAATAGGGGACCCCTAACAACTCTTAACATCTTTAACAAACTACACTTCCCAGGATGCTTTGGGGGAAGCCATGACTGTTGAACATGGTATGATACATCTTCAAATGAATAGTACAGATGGTGTCTAGAATTGAACCTGTATTTTATGCAGCTCATGACCCAATTTCTTTCCCCTGGATAAATAAAGAAGCATTTCCTTCCATACAATGGGAACTGAACAGTGTATAGTTGAAGAGTAATGAGTTGGTAGCAAAAGATAGACAAGAAACCAGGGAATATTATAGTGTGATATCTGATGTGTAAGTGGGATATTTTTGAAAAAGATATTGCTAATCAAAAGAAAAAAACAGCTGCTAACTGGGGAAATTGTTAGTGTGAACAGAAAGAAAAATGGATCAGTGAAGGTCTATGAGAAGCTGTAAGGATTAGGGAAACCATTAGAGTTGATAAATAACCATAAATCTAATAAATTTTAACCAATTTGGGGTAAAAGAAATTTGAATTCGGTGATAAATGTACCAAATTATTTTCTAGATTAATCTCTACAGAGCAAAGAGAAAAGGTAATGCCAAACATTCCCACTTCTGTGTTTCACTAATAGAAAAATCCTGCTAATTCGGAGTCTGCAGTCATACTTATTGGTTTTCTCTGGAAACACCCCTGAATAATTTTATTCCTTATAAAAATTACTTCTCTTTTTGTTCATGACTTACACCAAGATTCTCAATCTTCTTTATTCTTCTTCCTTTAATGGTCCCAGAATCCTTCCACTTCTGATGTCAAAACGAATTCATAAATTCTGCCAAAGCCAAGAAAGAGCATCTGCACACCATTTGGTTTCTGGCTCCATGAGATTGTACCCCTCTTTCTCAAACTAACTATCCGAAATGAAGGCTTCTATCAGGGAAGACAGTGCTGGTTAATATAAAAGCAATCTTCTTATGTAGCAAACCTATAATATGAATGCAAAGTTGGTGGGAAGCATTGTTAAAGATAAAATAACCAAGAGGATCAAGGAGATGGAGTGACTCCCCTTTTGTGGAACAATTGCAGCACTTGGGACTTTTTAGTTTAGAGAAACTAAGTGGTGACATGATAGAAGTTTATAAGCTTATGCATGATGTGGAGGCCGTGAATAGATAAGAAAGTTTTTCTCCTTCTCTCATAGCAGTAGAACTTATGGACAGCAAAGGAAGCTGCATGTTGGATGACGTTGGACTAAATGGGCATCACACTCTGCCTATATTCTCAAAGTGCACAACTGGGCAGTTAGTGGAAGATAGTGGAAGACCTCACACTCAGCACAACCATTCCCTCCCCCCCCCTTTTTTTTTTTAATTAGAATATACAGTACCAAGAATCTTCTCATCTTGGCTCTCTTTTGTGCTACCATCAGAGAACTCTCTGCCATTCAGATACCCATCTTCAAAAGAAGATATAGGTCCCATTGTGCTTATTTCAGTGTTTGTTTGGGGGTATGTGTGGAATGATCCATGTATTCCAATATGCTTAGGCAGCATGTTTTTCTTAAACTCAATTCTTCAGCCTAGGAATTATTTGTCACCATGGCTTCCATTAATCAAACACTGAGTCATACAATAAGTGGATCTTCTCCATTTCATCACACACACACCCCCAAAAAACCCAAAAAAGGACCTAACTTAACACTTGCACCCAGGAACCTTGATTGTGGGACAGCTGCTAAGCCATTACAAGTTAACTGACCATGACCATGTTGAAAATAAGACAAGTGAACAATCATCATAAGAGCAGCATCAAATAACATCATATAAAGCGAATGAAACTGACAAAAGCTCACTGAGATAAAACAGTTTTAGGGGTTGCTTAAGGGTGGCAAGAAAATGGTTCAAGCAGTTGTCTAATGTTCAGTTGTCAGATGTTAAATGTCATTTGTCACTGGTACTCATCAGCCTAGATGACCTTAGTGGTGTACACCAGAGAGCAGAACATCTAAGCCTTGGAGGTTATAAGGCCACCTTGAGGCCCAAGTTGGTTTATGTGGGTGTAAGTAGCCTTTCCAAGGCCTGTACAGTGGTACCTTGGTTCTCAAATGCCTTGGTTCTCAAATGCCGAAAACCCAGAAGTAAGTGTTCCGGTTTTTGAACATTTTTCGGAATCTCTGATGCGGCTGTTGGCTATTGTTTCCAGGGCACCTGCACCGATCAGAAGCTGTGCCTTGGTTTTCAAACATATCAGAAGTCAAACGGACTTCTGGAACAGATTACTTTCTATGGGAAAGCACGCCTTGGTTTTGGATCACTTTGGTTTTGGAACAGACTTCCGGAACGGATTAAGTTTGAGAACCAAGGTACCACTGTACTCATGAGTGCCTGGCTGACACACCTAGCTATGCCATCAAAACCCTCAATGATCCTTGGCACAGGAATTTGTACCCATTACATATGTGCTGTTTCTTGCTCATCAAGTTCAAGCGAGGAGTTGGAGCAAGATCATTAAGTTCACTAAGTTCATAATTCTGATTGTGACTATGATTACTAATTCATTCTGGGGTGGAGCTTTCCTTCTGCGTTTGAAAAAGTCTTTGCTTATTATTATTACACCTCATCTGTTTGGTCTTCCCTATTGTAGATAAGATTCTAATTTGGTATATTTTGTCAGCTACAGACCTTCTGGAATGGCACAGGTCCTCTTAAACCTTGTAAATCTGGTTCTTGGGATGGGTTGTGGACTGAAAGTGCCTCTGACCCCATGTTAGATTACTAGCAGCAGGACAACAAGGGCAATCATGCCCTTTTGCCACCTGTAGGCCTCCAAGTGGTCTTCAATATTATCAGCCATGATACCCTGTGTGAGTGAATGAACTGAATCCCCTTCTGTCTTATAGGTGGGCTCCATAACTTGGTATTGGAAGACCATTGATCCTGCCATATAGGATTGTTCAAGAATTATCAGAGCTGCCTGCTATGCTAATTCATATCTATCCAAAACCATGGGACATTGTCATCTTTGGGAAGTAATCCCTTTGGTATGCCAACAACACCCAGTTCTTGTCAGAAATCAAGCCTTTATCAGGAGAAACTGGCAACTCTCCCAGGCACCCGGCTTGATCTCTTGTTTACCTCCCTGTCTGCATTCCCCAGCAAGATCCAGGCTAGGTCGCAATAGGCGATCCTTATCATCTCATCCACATGTTGGACAGGAAGGTCTGAAAGCGGCTTGAAAACATATGTGAGAACATAGGGTTCCAGTTTGTGGAAAGGATTATAAGCCATCACAAGGTAACATAGCATCAACATGCTTAAAATGAAGAAAGTGAACAAATTGTCAAACAAAATCCATAAAATCCTTTGAAAGTGATCCGGAAACTAGAATTAATCCAGAATGCAGCAACTAGACTGGTGAATGGGAGTGGCTGCCGAAACAACATAACACCGGTCCTGAAAGACCTACATTGGCTCCCAGTACTTTTCCGAGCACAATTCAAAGTGTTGGTGCCCTCAACGGCCTCGGCCCAGTATACCTGAAGGAGCGTCTCCACCCCCATCATTCTGCCCTGACACTGAGGTCCAACTCTGAGGACCTTCTGGCGGTTCCCTCACTGTGAGAAGTGAGGTTACAGGGAACCAGGCAGAGGGCCTTCTTGGCAGTGGCACCTGCCCTATGAAACACCCTCCCACCG